TCAAACTTTCTTTATGTTTTTGTTATACATTTTCTAAGATAAATCCCAGTTTATCCTACTTTGTTATGCCTGTTTATTAACATTATTAATATTATGCTGTCCTACCACAGCTAACTGTTCTCTACTACTAGCCTTATCTACTACTATGTTCTTAGGTAGTATTACTTTTTCTTCATTCACATTTAACACTTTTACAGGCACTGTGTCTCTCTCAGACACTTTACTAATACAAGCAGCTAAATAAGCTCCTGTTTCTTCTATTTCAGTAGGCTTAACTAGCACTTCTTCATTATACTGAAAGTAATTTACTTTAGCTTGAACTATAAATTGACTTCTCACAGGGACTTCAGTTAGTTTAACTAATCTTACAGGAACTCTTTCTTTCAAACACTCCTGTTAGGATGCTCTGTTGCTTATGTTAGGCAAAAGTGTAGAGTCATCTGATAGGTTTGAATTATTAATTTCTTGTTTTAAAGGCTTATTAATTAACTTATTCTGCCTTATCTTACTATCACTCACCTTATCTTTATGACTCCTGCTAGATTTAGTGTCTTTCTGGGCAGTCTTATTTCTTGACTTTCTTTTGGAACTTTCTTTCGGACACTTCTTATTCTAACTCCTCAGATTTTGTCGTGTGTTACTACACTCTATTAAGTAGTCAGTGGTTTCGTATTTTGACGATTGATCCTTAGTCTCGCTAATGCTAGCATTAGGCATCTGACTATTAATCAGCGGGAAGGTATTATGTGTCTCAACTTTTGCACATAAGTTTGAAGGCTCAAGTCCTTCAAACTTAAGACCTCTGTTTCTATGTGTAGCTTACTTTGGGTAAGAGATATTTCAGTGTCATAAGTTCTTAAGAAATCTTGCCCTATAATACCACCTGTTTCTAAGTCTATCTGCTTATAGATGTAAAATGAGTGTTTTAACTCTAAGTTCCTACTTTCATTTGCATATGATATCTACCTAACGTTTTAATAGGATATCCTGTTATAGATGTTAAAATACTTCTAGAAATTTCTTTCCAGGCATTATCTAATAATGTCGGATTTCTATCTACTAATTCTGAACTTAGAAGCTATGATTGAGCACCTGTATCAACCAATAATCAACATAATATACCTTCTATTTCTACTTTAACTGTTGATGATACTTCATTAACACTATGAATACTCGATCGCTTATCCCAAACTACCAGAACTACCTCTACTTTTGCTCTGTAATCCCATTGGGGATTATGTTTTTTGAACCAGTAGCGAAGGTAGGGCTACCGTTATTATTGGGAAGCTTTTATCTGTAAGCTCCAGCCTTTGGGGTTTTTCTGTTTTCAGCTTTCCATGGGCGTCAGCAATCTCATGCCATGTGGCCTGTAATACCACAGTTATAACACACTATTTGCTCATTTCTTTTCTGCTTTTGAAAGCAGTTTCTTGCTTTGTGCCCAACTTTGCCACAGTTAAAGCAATGGAAGCCATCGGGCTTACTCTGTGTATTAGACAGATTAGCCTTGCTATAACTGTTAACTGCATTTATAGCTGAATGTTTAGGCTTATAGATCTGCTTTTCTCATAGCTCCTCTCGAGTAGCTACTTCAATTAAATCCAGTAAAGTTGCTTGAGGGGTATTTGCTTCATTTACATATCCTCTAGCTACGTTACTGTATAGCCCTCATTCATACTCAGATTTTACAGTATCTTGAAGCATATCCTCGTTCGAATGTGCATAAGCCCTGTGCAATCTATTACATAACTCCTGTAATTTATGTCCAAAAACTTGGATGGATTCACCACATTGTTGATATAGATTGCACATTAGTAGTTTCTCATGTCCTATTCTCTTCTATTAGCTTAAGCACTAGATATTGATAGTCTGTTGTCTCACACAGCTCACCATACGCCCTAATGTAATGATTTAGCCTCTCCTGCTGTTCTTAGATGTAATATATTAGCTTTCTGGGCATCAGTCCAGCCTGATATTCTAGCTGCTTCATCTAAGGTGTCGATAAAGCTTTCAACATCCTCATTTGAACTACCGTGATACAGCAGTACAGCACTTGTTAAGTGTGTAGTGCTGCATAGCCCTATTTGTGTGGGTTGCTCAGCTGTGGCTTCATGGTTAGTATAGCCCTTCTACAGACTCTAGGGCATGCACCACCCTCTTCTGTAGTCGTATCTACACCAGTAGTGGCCATAACTACTTATTTCTAACCTACACTACTTACAGTACTTTGGTTGAGTTTCTTACTTTTTCTGTCTTTCTTTACTCTAACCAGCCTGTAGTTAGCTACTCCAGAAATATTCGAGACTGCGCCAGCTGTAAAGAGTAGCGCCCTGGTGGGCTTAATTATTGGAGTTTCAATTAAAACTACTCGTTACACCAAATTTATTTATTGGAGGATTTGTCGTGACGAGTAGAGCCACAAGTTGTTAATTAGAGGTAGTTTACAGTTAGACTAAGGAAATAGAGTCTCAGGCCAATGGTGAACACTTATAATAATATTTATTAAACATTTAACAACTTCTCAAAACATAACTTCCTTAAGTAAACAAACTTTAAACATTATTCGAGTTTGACTAAATACTTATATAAAGGCATTTAAATACTTTTCACATAGATACATTTAATACTTTATATAGTTCTAACATTAACTGATTAAAAGAGAAAGATTATACTTACAGTTGAGTTGGGTTGCTGGGAGTTTTAGTCACATTCGACATTTTCATTGTTCAGAATTTCTAGGAACATCTAGGACTCTGGAGGAACTCTTTTTGAATCCCGGAGAACTGATTTTTCAGTCTCTGATATGGGTTTTTTAACTGACTTTTCTTAGTATTATCTCGACCCACTCAATGGGACACAGCATCACCCACAAGTAGTCCTGTGTCCCTATTGGATGCTTTAGGGGAATTCCCGGGCTAATCCAAAACCATAACCAGAACTCTCAAGTAATTGGTTATAAATAAGTGGTGTTAGCTGGCCACCTATTCACTTGTACTGCTACAACCATGTTCTGTTACTGATATCATCACAAAGTGCCGATATTACTCACTAAACCAATTTTTTTGTAGCTTTCCTAGTTCTAAGGGGTTGAGGTCAGCAATCCATCAACCTGTCACAAATACTAGTGCACTCATCTTGTTTCTAGACAACGTTTCTTACGTAACTAGGCTTCTGACCTTGTTTACTAGTTCTCAAGCTCATTTCACAAGTTTATTTCACAACATAGGCGTCTTCTTATCACCTCTTTCTTATATATTCTTGGTTACTTACTTAGACTTAAAGAACTGTTAATACTGTTG